CGGAGGTGTCGAGTGAGCTGCGCAAGATGGATGAGTGAAATTGGTGGTATCCAAGAGATTAGCATCCTGTCATGACAGCGGAAATGTTCCCTCTCAAGCAGGGGGGCCAACACACATATTTTTGAGCGGCACATTCCTGTAGGCCGCTGAGTTAGTTGTAAAAGAACTTCATCTAACGGTGTGGGCGTCGACTGTTGAGCCCCGCGTAAGAGCTATAGAATCTTTAATTTAGACTCCTTCATTCATCACATTCGATCTTCCAGAGAAGAGCCTAAGACACCCTCAACTGAAGGATAACATATTCCAGGGAGAGAGGATGAACAGGTATGCTGCCCTTGGCTTCATGACAACTCCTTGAAACAATGGGTGTTGGAGCGTGATGCTCCGTTGTTACGAGTATTGGTCGACATGTTTGGAGTTGACTTAGGAATAAACATACGCTATTTAAAAATAGATCCGACCTTTAAATCAGTCATTTAGAAAAAAATTGAAGTCTGACACCACTCTTGCTGTCGTGGACCATTGTCACCCGCAGTTGACCATTGTCGACTGTCGACGACCGCTGTCAACCCCCATCGACCACTGACTGATGACCTCCGTCGATCCCTATTAGTCTCCGCCCTTTCTTTGTAACAAGTTCAATGCACGTCGGCGTTGTAATTTGGGAAATCTTATAACTCTTTCCTGTTGTAATCATAATTTTATAGTAGAACTCTTTAATTGAGTCAAATCCTGTTGTTTTTTTCTTTATGGGTTTTCCCTCTTCTGAGTGTGTGTTGAATCTCCGTATCACATTAAGATGATAATATATAACTATACTGTTGTGAATTTTCTAGCCCGCACCAATTGTGTTTTTTTTTTCTTTTTTGTGAATGATTTATAAAATATTTTCTAGAAAAATTAGCAATAAATAATTTTATAAATTAACGTAAATAAGTGTAGATTTATAGTCTTTGAGTACAAATTTGACAAATTTAAATAATATTTTTATATCAAAATTTCAATTAATCAAGCAAATAATAAGTTGAAAAATAAAACTTGTTCCTCTTTTCAAATTCTTATATGGCTCTCTAGTATTAATTAAAAAAAAAATTTAAAAGCAAAGGACATCATAAAATAAAAATATTCACTCCTGCTCAATATACCTTTAACATAATTCCCTGAAAAATAATATTATTATTTTATAACTCAGAATAAATAATAAAAATAGTTATTTAGTTATATTTAATATTTTCTAGCAAGCAAATGAGCTCTTCATTATTCAATATCAACTTTAATTTTTAAACCCTAGAGTTTGCCATTGAAAACACTTTATTTTAGGTTTTATTAATTATAAGTAGAGCACCAAAAAAATAATAGATAAGTCAACATTAATCACATCCTAACTCTATATAAACCCAAAAGTTAATCTAATAAAACATGAATCTTAATATAAATAATTGAATTAGAAACTTCTAAGGCCAAAATTTAAGATCAATTTTTAATAAATTTATAGTAAAATATAGGCGTCGATGAGAAAAGTCTAGCGAGCTCAATGTTACTCAAATGTTTTTGATCAAATATTTAGGAAATTTGAAATTTTTATGGGAGGTTATAAGGGCCCTAACTTCAAAAATCTTTAACATTTTACCCATGAAGGGGCCTTAAGTTGAGGAGAATAAATGAACTTAAAGAAACATGAAGCTATGACTGTCAATCATCATTAATAATCACTTTCACTCTATTCTTGCGCTCATGCGACATAGGAAAGACCCGTGAAGAAAGTGGAGGAAGAGAACGGATGTGTTTTCAGAGAGCTTTAGATTATATTCTACAGGAAAACACTGAAAAAGGTCAAATGAGAAGATTTCTTTTGCATGGATTCTGAAGTCTTCAGAGAGTGTCCCCAAGAAAATTTCTTGAGGTGGGAAAGCATCCCTATATATATGGCCAGAGATGAGTCTTTCCCTCCATAAGGCTTACAATGAGATGAATATTAATGATTTTAGTACAATATGAATTTCGCACACGGAGTGTCAATAAAATACAACAGTGATGTGTGTGTCAGACTGTTCATAAATGAGCATTAATATTCGTCCACTTTTCAATGATGGTTTAGCTCACCAGATGAACTTAGTTAGTCATCTCAGCAAGTTAACCTGACAGTCGAGACATGACACCTGACACTTCATTATATGAGATGATATGTCATTCTGGTGGATTCAATGGGCCAATTTTTCTTGATATTTCATCAAATTTCTCCTTCCCGCCTGCATTCACTTACACTTAGCTTGTTCCCGACTTTTAATCTCCAATGGCAGCAAGTCAGCCGACGATGGGGGCCACACAGTGATAGTAGAGCCCTTGATAGCCATCAAAGGCAATGACGACAATGTGGGTGCCAGGGAAGGAGGAACCGATGATGGCGGAGGAGGCTTGATAGTCTTAGACAACTTCCTATATGGTGTTCTTGCGAAAGACAACACTCTAGAGGCGGCAGAGCGACTACTGAGGCACGAAAGGACCTGAGACAGAACCATCTTTATTTTTAGGAGGGGGGGCAGGCAGAGAGGCAAATTTATTAAGTTATAAAAAATTTAAATTTTTTAATAATTTTTTTATCATTATAATTTCAATATAAATAATTATAAAATTTAATCTAACATAAAAATTGTGATATTAAAATTAACAGTTTTTTGATGGCCAAAAGGATGTAGCATTTTGAATTTTAGCTATAACCCTTGGATTTATGTTTAAAATATATTAATTGATTAGCGAAAGGTTAACTTTTGAAATACAAAACTCAAAAACATTGAAAACTTTAAAGTAATATGATAAAATCAAAAGTGAAAAGAAACTTCTTTAAAACTATTCTATAATAGATAAAACATAAATGTTGTAAGAACCTAAAATGTATTGCAATTTCCTATTTGCTCCATCTTCCAAGCTGGCATGAGATCCCCGGATATAGTTGATGCTTTTCCTATGAGAACCCATTGCCCACTTTATAATCAGTTTCTTCCCCAAAACACAACTTTTTACCCTCCTTGATTATATTCCTATATTTTTTTCTCTCCACCTGCAGAGCCTCGTATAGAGTGAGGCCAAAGGGAAGGGGCAACCAGACATGGAGTGTGCATTCTCATTTTTGTTGTAATTTGAGGCCTTAGTGAGATCCAACTTGTATTTTTTTGTCTTCTTCCAATGATGTTTGTCTTGGCAGAGAGAGTCAATTACCTTCAAAGGGGAGGGTAGAGAGACTTCAGGTGAGTGGTGAAATGATGCTTAATCATGGAAGAGACAGCGTGCAGATGCATTCAAGTTACAAATTCACACGCTCACACAAATTAGATTTCCGATTGTAATTAAATTGAGAAATAGATTGTATTTCTTTTTATATGTATGAGCATGTATTTATTTATTTAAAAGTGCTGCTCAATCTATTTCTTATGTGCATTTAAGATGCTGGTTATTTTATTTGTAGCCTAAAATAAATTAAATCTAGTTTTTTAAATAAGAATTCAAGTATTTACTTAGATAAAAAAAAATAGTGCAGTATTTATATTTTAGAATATAAAATTGAGGCATCAATACAAAACAAATATAGTCTCAATCTGTTAGATTCGAGTAATTATACAATACTTACATGCTTTAAAATATTTGACATGGTTCGCATATGATAACTGTTGCATGCAACTACTCAGAGAAATGCGCCGGTAGATCAACTTAGTAGATCAACTCGCCAAGTCAACCAAGCAATATAGACATGAGAGCTGACACTTCAACAAATAAAATTGAGAGACACCTCCAAAAAACATTTCATCAAAATGGGCTTTTTAGATTGGTAAGGCCTGCTACTGTCTGAATGGACCCAAACTATATTTTAACATAAAATATTAATTAATTAATTAATTTAAATTATAGGACTCAAAAATCACAATTAATTAGAGCCATTACGCACCACTCAAATCACTCTAAACAATATCTCAACAACTTATAATTGAAGCTCTCTTTTTAACGCTGCATGTCCTGATTCACTATTTGCATCATCTGCATTATGGCCGCAAGCGCGTTAATTAATGCTGCAATCAATACTTACATTCGTTTAATTTACCATATTTCAAATCCCAATAATATATTAAAAAAATAAATAAATCAATTTTCGCAATATTTAAATCTCAAGTCATAATATTAAAATGCAGTTTCTAATAATATTATTAAAATTCTCACAGCAGCCCGCCAAAATCTTTCCTTGCGTCCCCATCTGCCGTTCGTTCTCTGAGAATTGAACTCCAACCGTCCGATCCCTGCACCCTTCAGCTCAAAGCAAAAAAAAAAAAAAAAAAATTTTATTTTTCAGCATATTGCTTCTTGACTTCTTGATTGATTACCTCTGAAATATTCCAACCTTTATTCTGCCCTTTATGCACCCGAACAGGCTGGGCAAATTACACATTCACCCTTTTCTTTTTTATAATTTATGATCGTAGTTAATACACGCGGACGGCCAGATGACACTCATGCAGAATCCCAAGTACCGTCTCATCATGACCGCATGATCCCAGGTATCCCTCCTCGGTCCGAACCATTAACTTCGTACGCAATGATTCAGATTGGCGGCTGGGCTTTGAGGTCATCAGGACCGTCCATCCGTTGATCTCGGTGGTCCCCGCACACCGGGATCGCCGACGGTGGACTGGTTAGGCAATAGAGTCATTTTCAAATACCGCACAATTATTAACGCTCTGCAGAACGGGTTAACACGCAACGAACCACCTTGCGGAGACCGGAAGCAATGGGTTTAGGGCCAGTTTTGTGGGTAGGGGTTACCGGCGCCAACCGGTGGAACGGCCGACTGGCGTTCACCCACTTGTCGAGCCATTGTTTAGAGGGCCATAACTCCTAATCCGCAAACGGCCAGATCTAAGAAACGGCGCCGTTACGTAAAATCGTCACCGTTAACGGGAAAGGGAAGTATTTCAAGTTCAACGGTGAACCCTTCCCTTGCTTTAAATGAATCAACGGCGTGTGCACTGATCTAGTCTGACACTTCTACGCGATTACTCTCCCTGCAAGGAATCGGAAGGGAGGGAGAGAGATGGGGAGGTACATGAGGAAGTGTAGAAGGATAGCGGAAGCTACGGTGATGGAGGTGACGCAGGTGGTGGGCGTGAAGACCAGGGCTAGGACGCTGGCTCTTGCTGCGGCGGCGACGGTACCGGAAGATAGTTCTATTGGGGGAGTGAGTCCGAAGAGAAGGAAGGAAACGGAAGAGGAGGCTGGGGTGGCTAGATCGGGGTCGGAGGAGCTAGAGATGGCTTACTTGCAGCTGAGGAATAGGAGGCTGGTGATGACGCAGCGACTTTCAAAATCGGCGCGAAATTCCGATGTTAAACGGCCGGGTAGCGTGGAGAGGGGCCGGATCTCGCGGTGTTCGAGCATCGCATCATGCGACGCGGTGGAGGGAGCACATCTCCGGTGCACGCTTGCCGGTGGTGAGAAGGTGGACTTGGATCTAATTTTTTGTCGTTTTTAACCTTATCGGAGTTACGTAACTGTCGTCTCACTCGAATTTCGCAATTCTTTTGCAGTCTCGCGGGGATCTAGGTAGCTCCGTTTGCCACTTCGAGTGTGACCGGAACAGGTTTCTTAATTTCACTCTCTCATGGCTTTCTTTTTTTTTTTACTTTCGAGATGCAAATTAATTCCCCTTTTAATTCTCAACTGTTTGATTAACTGGATTCTTCTCCAGAAATGAGATCATCCCGTCGAGTAATCAAGTAACATATTCCGGCGAGATAGAGTCAACGGAGGAAAGAGAATCGCTGCGGCAATCTACACCTCAATTAACGATGCCATTTGCCGCAGAGATCGAGGAATTCTTTACCGCCGCGGAAAAATTAGAAAAGCAGCTTTTCGCTGACAGGTAATTTTCCTCGACTAAACCCGTCTCTTCCCTCCCTTATATTTCGCTGCGTGACAAAGCTGTTGATCTGTAGGTATAATTTCGACTTTGATAATGAGGTTCCATTGGAGGGACGATACGACTGGGTTCGTGTAAATCAATGAAACACAAGTTAACCACACGCGGGGAAGGAGATCAAAATCAGACTTGAATTAGAAAGCAAAATTAACTCAATTATATATCTTCGATGTAATTTTTTTTCCTTTGTAGACTTTGTTTTTATCTTAGTGTCAATTTAATGTACAGCAGCGAAGCAACCAACGCTTAATCAACTCGTTTTCTCTGCTCTCTTCATTTCCCTCAAGACTACCACACCTGCGATGTCTCCTTCTTCTCTTCTTGCCACTGTGTACGATATTGTATCTGCAGAAGCTTCTGAGTTCAGAACCTCCATCCTACTGCTAATAATGCTCGGCAGTGATCAGGGAGAGAGAGAAGAGAAGTGTGTGGAACACTATAACAGAAATGCCTCGCCCTAATCCACCCTCTCCCATTTTCCACTCATTCTTCCTTCTCCACGCATCACCTCCGCAGGATATCCATCGAACGGTGGGTATTCTGCCCGTCACATTTACATTTTTACAGAGGTAACGGAGGTTGCAGCGGTGAGCTCACCGCGAAGCGGCGTGGAAGGCGAGGAGGCGGATTCGCACGTGTAAGGTGAGGACGGTAGCCCCACTTTTTGCAATTTTTTTTAATTGTTTTTGTTAGGGGGTGGAATATCCCTTTTGCAATTCGAATTTATAATTTTTATTGTGTACCTTTATATAAAGGGTGAAAAGGGGGGCGGCGGAGCAGAAAGAGCATATACTTTTGTGGTCCTTATGCTCTGCACTTCCCAGTTTTTGCGCGAGTTTCTTTCTCTTAACGTGCTTGGCCGATCAACTCGCTCTCACTCCCACGCTGTGGCAGCAGGGCGATTTTTTCATTCTGCTGGTACAATAAATTTTAGGGTTAATCGCATAGCATTGCTATTTACAAATTTAGCATCAGATGAATCTTTTTTTTCTTTTTTTGGACTCTCGAACCGTTGTATTTGCTTGCGACACGATTAAATTACTTATAATTTGATAAAAATGAAAAATATGAGTTGAGATTTTATCATGAATTTTGATATTTGATCTAGAAATTAAAAAAAAAAAGGACGAAAGGTGATGCTTGATTTGTAAATGACAAGTGTTATATATGGATGTTATTACCCCACTTTAGCTACATAATGGGAGTTGGAAGTTGCAATTTTTCGTTAGAGGTGGTATAGTAGCAAAAATGTTTTGACTGTTCATTCTTCCACAAATTTATTTGCATAAGAAATGCTATCATTTTATTATGCATTTGATGCCGTAACTCTGTATTTATCATTGTGTTATATTGTTGAATCTTGATTTGTCGACAAATTAGTCATAATGAATAGGGCATAAGATATTTGAGAGAGAGAGGGGGGTGCATGGTAACGAATAGAAAGATGAATTATTGCTTGGCTCTTTCTCATGAAATGAGACTCTTATTTATGGAGGAGGAAGTACTACATATGAAGTTATATGTTTGCCCTAAATTTAGTAGGGGCTTTATAGAATATTTTAGGTATTTTATATGTATAGACTTTCGATTTTACTTCTCTGTGACTCGGTCTGTTGAAATTAATGGGCATTGGTTCTACAAGACATGTTCGTCCGACTGTGCTGAATCGAGGTAGTCAATCAACTTTTGATGGTTTTTGGGTCTGCAAAATTTGGCTCGGTCGGTTATTCTACTATGACTTTTGACTATTGATCGTGGATGAGAAAATCCTATTGGCAGATTAAGACTATGCTATCGGGCAAAGCTTGAATCACCATAATTCAATAGGCAGCTCACTCCTTAACGAAGGGATCCCTAGGGATACTCATTTGAGTACGTTATGATCAATTCTTAGCCCCTTAAATCTCAAGAGCGCCTGTATGATGCGTGGTAATGATGAACTCTTCCTTTAAGTCGAGTTATGACAATTGGCAGGTCAATACTCTGCTCAACTTGATTAGATTTAGTTCTTGGTTCGGTTGGCTTGCTTCTGGTTGCCCTCTAACCCCAGTTCAATGGCGTGCAATTGATCAAGTGTGTTCTTTAGATTTTTATCGTGGGGGTCTTTAGTCTTCTGCATGTGGGCCCTCCTTAGCTGCACTCTTTTATCCTGTTGTCTGTCAGATCTCGCCGAGATTCGTGCAGATGCATTTCTGATGTACATATACTACTTCGATGATTAATGAGTCATTTTGGCGTAATTTCTTTTTAATTTTTATTTTTTAAAAATCTTATTCACTTGGGAACGTGTTTGGTTGCAAGTAGGATCTAATCTTATTCACTATTTTACTGTTCATAATCAATCTATTTATCTTCACCTCATTTGCACTCTATTCCTTAGGTTTGTCTTCCGGATAATTTTAAATTCAGCAATAATTAATTGTTATTTGTTGCCTTGTTTTTATGTATTTTTATATCTAAAGTAAAAAAAATTATTTTTTTACAATTATACTATCAAATCTTTCATATTACAAAAAATAACACAACTTTAACTTTTAAAACATGAAATGTATCTCTTCATGTATAGGTAAGATGACATGTATGCAAAAATTAAAGTTTGTGTGTTAGATAGATAAATGCATAGAAAGAGTTATGCATGCAAATATTCCATATATGATGGTGGATGAAGTTCGACATTTTCTTTCTTTATGATGTCTTCTATTTAATTTGCTCCATTTGTCTGCACAGAGCGTTCGTTGGAAACTAAATTTGCAGTAAGAAAGTGGGGGGGAAATCCAGTAATTGCGAAGGTGCAAAATAGTTTCTTTTGTAAAAAAAAAAGGAAAAAAAGAAAAAGAAGGCGTTCAACATTTGTTTCCATTCCTTTCATTGTAGCATTTCTGCAAACAATTCAGTCAGTACAAAAGATGCCTCTTACAATTAATGCAAGGTATAAACAGAAGACGTGAAGTATTGGAAGTCTTCTTCTCTCTCTCTCTCTCTCTCTCTCTCTCTTTCTCTCTCTCTCTCTAAATATAGTGTATAACATAAGTATATCACTGCCCTTGCCAAAGCAACGAAACCGTCGTCAGAAGCGGACCAAAAGTCATCTCTCCAAACTTACAGGCCACTTAGGCTGGCTACCTCCTTTCGACCGATCACATTGGGTCGGCCACCTGCTTCTTGCCAACCGTCCAATTGGGTCCAACCAGTCGTATTGGGTCAGCCACCCACCCACCTCTTGCCGGCTGGCCACCTTGGACAACCATCACCAACCGACATGCCACATTTGTCGGTCACCCACCTCCAATCGATCGCACCAGCCTCCTCAGGCCAACCACCAACTTCCAATCAGTCGACCACCTTAGTCGGTCACTTGACGCCAATGAACCCTGCCTACCGAAAAGCTCCAAAACACAGATCTCAGTGAAGAAATGACCAAAACATCCCATACTACCCTCCATAAAGTAAGGGTAAAAGTTTAATATTATATTTTCCTCTTTTTATCTGCTATAAATAGATGGCTCATGACGTATATTAAAAAAGTTTTGGGATCTGTTCTCTCTAAACCCCCCATGTAGGGAGATCTATCTCCCCTTTTGCTCTCTTATAACTAGGACTGTAATCGAGCCGAGTAAAGCCGAGAGTATCATAATTCAGACTTGACTTGGAATAATTATAAGTTGTTCATATTCAACTTGAGCTTGTGACGAGCTTTCATAAATTGTTCGAGTTTGATTTGTGTAAATTTTTTTAATGTTTGAGCTTGATTTGTTTATGACAAGTCAACGAGTATTTAAACGAGCTAATAAACAAGCTAAAAATTCAAACATGTATCTAGATTTTCATAAAAAAAAGTTTATCGATAATTTTACAAATCTGATCACATCTACTAATTTATCAATTATAAACTCTGTAAAAATGAAAGATAATTCATGAATCATGATTATATGAGTTATAATCACTCGTATTTTAGCGTTATCATACTTCTAATTTTGCACCAAATTCTCATATTAAGATGCAGATGTTGGTTTTCCAATAGTTATATGCACTTGTCCTTTACCTAATTTTTTTGGACAATTGCATAAATGTCTTTTATATTGAGTTGTTATGTCATCTTTATTCTTAATCATATATAACTTACAATGATTGTGTGCACTGTATTTTCTTAACGTCACTTTTTAATCAGGTAAGATTTATGAGCATAGTGGAAATGAGAGATATATAAGGGACTAGTTTCAAAGATCCTTGCGCACCGCGATCTCGTCGTTGCCTTCAATACTTACACGCCCTAACAACTCAGGATTTTGTATGTTTCGGGCAAAACAAGGAGACGTGAAATTGTGAAAGGTCGGAGGAAAAATGGGCTTGCATGAGTTTAAAGTTAATTTTAAGGGGCTTTTCATACATATCATGTAAGGGGCATTTCATACATACTACATAAGTCATATGTATTTTCACATAGAACACCTAAACTTTAATAAAATAAATATATAATTAATAATTAATCAAAAAATATTATTGATATAAAACTATATTACTATTATCTAATTAAATAAATTTTAAATAATTAAATTCTATTTAAATAATATATCATATATAATACGAGCTATCATCGAGCTTAATATCAAGTATTTAACAAGTCACTTGTTTAACAACAAACGAGTTTATTCGTGAACATAAATGAACAAGTTCGATAATGTTCATGTTTAGTTCATTTAAGCTCCGATGTTTTAAAAATTGTTCAAGCTTGTTTATTCACTAATTTGAACGAATATGATCGATTCTTAATCGAGCCGACTCCGAGTTGTTCGTCGAGTACATTGGTTCATTTATAGCCATACTTGTAATCTTTATTTTCTAAGGAAATAAAAGTGGTCAAAGAGCTCGGGAACACCCTCTGTTACCCCCCGAGCAAATCTCTCTCTCTCTCTCTCTCTCTCTCTCGCTCACTCGCTCTCTCCCATTTTTTTCTCCCGCTTAGTCGCCAAGCTCTATCCTTTGAACACTCGGGAACAAATTAAGATTCAACATATAGAATTCTGCAATTAATAAACAACTAAATTGAGAGTAAATTTAAAATTTGAGTAAAGTGCCAAAATAGTCATCGAGTATTTATATGGTGTTGTTTTAGTTATGAAGTTTATAAAAGTGTAAAAATAGTTCCGACTATTTTAAAATTGAGCTCTAGTAGTAAATGGTAGAACCAACATCTTTTTTTCCGAGAGGAGAGGGGGGTGGGGGCAACAAAGGGCAAAGTGATATTTTAGAAAGAGCAAAACTGATATTTCAAGAGAGACAAAAGACCAAATTACCCTCTCATATAAATAAAAATTTGAATTTGAGGGGGCATCTGGACCCAAACTAGGTCTACCCTTGCTAGTAGTCCTCTATGAAGACTATTGTAACCCTAATTTAAAGAGTGCGGAAACTATTTCGACACCTTTATAAATTTTAGAATTAAAACAACCCCATAAAAATAGTCGGGTATTTTTTTAGCACTTTATTTTTTAAAATTTTGTCTTCAAATTGTCATGATAATACCATGTGGCGTGCTTTTTTATTTTTTTATTTTAAATTTAATTAATTATTTGATTTCTAGTTTGCTTTTTTATGGTTCAAAACTTCAATGATTTGATTGGTGCGATTTAACAATTTTCATAACACCAGTTCCACCTCAGATTGTCTAAAGCTCACCGAATTTCTTTATCTTTTAAAATAAGGCCATCTACATACATACCACACAATTTCGATGCATTTACAAATCTAACATGTAAATTTTGTCTTCAATACTTATACCACCAAAATCTTTCCTATTTGTACACAGAAATTGCGCCGGCATAAATCTTGAGGAGATCTGACAGTCTAGGAGACAATGACTATCAGAGGGCGGACTTACTGGCATAAGACTTGGGGGGATCCAGACGTCCAACCAAATGAACCAAATTCAAAAACAATTGCTATAAAAATGAGTCTGTTACATGAGACGAGCGGCCCACCTAGTCACAACACAAATAATCACCTGAACCTAGCACTTCAATAAAAACAAGTCCGAAGAATGGGCTAATCCCACAAGTCTTGTGTCTACATTGGGAACGACAAGCAGCCTTCCCCCAAGACCTCTTCCTTTAATGGTAGATCGTATGTCGGATTATAGTGATCCGCCCTTTGCCTGACAACCTAGCTTCGCATTATTGACGGGAGTTCTTAGAGTCAAAAGCCAACGATCATCATGTCAATCAATCAACAGAACTTGGGCGATTAGTTCTACCGACTCCATGTTATTAGAAGATAGGTCAAATGGTAGCGTCTACGGATCTAGCCTTTAAACAACATAAACTAAGCAACTTGCTCTCCAACTGTACACCTGCCAAGACTTCACTAGCACACCTGATCAGTAGTGCCTACCTAATTTAGTCGACCGGCAAAGTTTGATGAAGTTCGACTGAGTCTAGTCGGCCTAGCTTGAGAGTAGCAATGCTCTTGGACCACAAGAGTAAAATACCAAGAATAATCTTCATAATCCCCACTGAATTATGAGCATAAATTTAACTTCACATATTACCGTCTCTTTGTCTATAAATAGAAGATTATTTCATGAATAAAATGTTATAAAAATCCCTCATTCTACTGTCCATTATTGTGCGTGCATGCCCCCCACCCCACTGCCCTCTCCCCCTCTCTCTCTACCTCTATCTCATGTTGTATACTCTATTCATTGGGTGTGATTCATAGAAAGACTCGTATTTAATAATATCACATAAAGAGTATCACTATTTTAACATTTAAAAAGTGAAGTACACATCTTCATGCCTAGATAAGGTGGCATGCATGTAAAATTCAAACTTAGGTGTTAGATATGCAAATAAATAAGAATTGAGTGGTATCCATGCAATATTTCTTTCTAATATACATGCAAAATATTCCCTTTTGAAAATATAAGAAGATGTGGAGCCAAAATTATGTATTTCTATACGTGCACACTCAAAAATTGTCTAAATGAATCTCGAGAAAATGTAATTGTCAAGATAAAATGGTAGAAGACGAAAAGTTACAAGCTCCCCACTTTGACAAAGGCAATAATGTAATTTTACATATATCGTTCTATCATCAAAATAGAATGAAAATTTCATGTATTAGGGGCTTTTCATTCCCCTCTCTTGTAACCCAAATATTTATTAAAATAAAATGGTTCTAAGAGCCCCCGAAACGCCCCATTCGCCCCTATGAGGAAGTCTTTCTCCACCCCCCCAAGCCCCCCAACACACTTTCTTTCTCTCCCTATTTTTCTCTCTCAACCCCCATGCTTTAGTCATTGGGCATGATCATACAAATATGAATTCCACATCCTAAAAGATGTGGTGAGCATAAATCATGTGATCAACAAGAAGAGCAGCGACACTGAGGAGAAAGTTCTTAGAGAGATGCTCTTAGCAAATAACACACAAGGAGAACTTGTACAACAGCAAATTCACTCAATTTATTCCACGTTATCAGTGATCTCCAAGAAATTCCATCTTTCCCCATAATCAGTGCTTTTTCCCTGCTTCCAGATATAGAGACCTCCTACGCTTCTCCCTCCTCGCTGTCACGCAAAGAACTGTACTAGCCTTGTCACTTGTCAATCGGCCCTCTCTATCGCAAGGAACACTCACTGTGCTAGCCAACTTACATATAAGCGAACCCTCCCTATCGTGGGAAGAACCGCAATGACCGCCTCACCTACCGGTCATCTCTCTCTACCATGTGGGATCTACCTGAGCGGAAGGCCTCCCGCACTGATCGCCTCATTGCCCTACCGATGCCCTGGCTGACGGCTTCACCGCTTTGGTTTACAAACCATCAGACTTGTCCTCTCTCTGTCGCGTAGGATCTAATGAAGCCAAAGGCCTCCCGCACCGGCCGACTGCATCATCGGCTCACCGCCTCGTTTCTTCGGTCGTCACCATCTGGCCGCTTCTCTCTTTGTCACACACAAACCTCACTATGCTAACCATCTCCCCGCGCATTTAAGTTTCCAAATCAAGAAAAGTGATTCTTTGATTGAGATGAGTATTGGTAACTTTCTTATGATATTGCAACTTAAAATTTCTTGAAGAAAAAAGGAAAAAATTGTGGTAAATTCTTTTCCAATTATGTTTCCTTCTCTCCCTTTCTCTCCTTTTTTCTTGAGTTGCTGGAATCATCAATTTGCCATTTATCGTTCTTTTACTTGTATTTGTCTTCTCCTATCTACCCCCACCCAGCTTGTGAAGTTATCAGCATTCTCAATTTATCAAGATTCAAAATTTTGGTTTATATCACTATGAAACATTCAAGGGCTAACTGGTTTATTGAAAAAGAAATATCATGTAAAAGAAATGAATTGTTAAAGTAATGTATTGTATTTGAAATATTTTAAAATTGTTTGGTTCAATAGAAAAATATATGCATGGTTTTGCATATTCTTGGTTGATTTGATGAAAAAACGAATTCAATATAAATCATTACGACAGCAGGAGGTTGGTGGCAACGGCGGGACACAGCAGGTGGCGGGAGGTCGGCAGCCTGCGGGCGACTGGCATTCAGTAGTGGGTGGCGGCGGAGAAGTCAGCCCATGGGCGAGAGGTGGCTGCGGGAAGGCTTTGGATTGGCAAAATACAAAAAAAAAAAAAAAAATCAATCTTAGTGCTTTCTTATACGAAATGGAAAGACAACAATGGCTGTACAGATTTGTGGCCAAACTTTAGAGATATTTTGAACCATAATGTCAACAAGAATGAGTGTACAAGAAGGCCCATACTCAAGCTTATGAGGAAGCCATGCATCAAAATATGCATCATTCAGTTCTGCTGATTCTTTTACAAAATGGTTTAGCACAACTACTGCAATCCTCTTCATGATCACACTAAGCTCCATGGCTTCTAGTGATTGTCATGTCAATAAAAGTATTTCTTGAAGTTCTTTCATAAATATCATAGACAATCGAAAGCAAAATATGTTTTCGGTTGCACAGCCCAAAACTTTCTCTAGATCTGATATAAAAGCTAACTCATATTCAATTGTCTTAGTCAAACTTTCTAAAATCACTATATGTCTTTTTAAATTAGTTTCTACAACTACAAAGCTAAAGTAAAAAGAATATTATTGCTATCATGATAATATAGTGATAACAAGACCACAGATCTTGTGAATTTAAATGACAAGCATCAAGTGCTATTAAATGTCTGTAATTAGCAAGAAAATCGTTGATTAAAAACTTGAAGACCATGTAAATACTCTAGAAGAAATTATCATCTTATCATATGTGAATGAAATATAAAATCCTAAATTTCTATTAATAAGTTTAGATCTCAATATGGGTATCCGCTTGTAATTATTATCTATTGATCCAAATATAATATCCCAAGGTCATGCTCCTAAATGCCATAACTTCAAATAGAGAATTGATAATCCATGAATAATCTCAAAATCATTATTAATATGGTCGGAAGGGAAATTTCAATTCTTCTTTTTACCCAAGTAGATGTGGCATTTTTTGCTTCCAACTCTATTGACACTTATGCATAAATGTGTTTCATGTAACTTTATCACTTCAAAACTTCAACCATCTCCATATATAGCAATGGTTATATTCTCCATGAACATTCTTAGTAAGAGCATGTAGCTATAACTCAGATTTTATTACAAGCTCCAATCTTAATTCCGAAATTAGTTATATAATGGCTATGCATCGGAGAAGTAGCTTGAAACTCATAGGATCATGTAAACATGCTCAAACAAATAAACCTTTATAATATCCACTTTGGCTAGATAAAAATCAATCATTGCAAACTTCATATTCTAAATTGTCAGTATTAATACTATCAAAACTTGAATGATAATACTTGCACATGTGACTATTATTCTTAACATCTACGCTTTGCGAACACATACAATCTTATATTATAACTATTATCTTTCATTAGATTGTTTAATCATTTCCATCACCACAACATTACTTGCGTAAGCTTGTAGTCTGAAAGCGGTATTCAACATACATGGTAATGTAATTCAAAGCCATGAACTTTTAATCATATGGACAAATTAATTAAATTTTTGCTTTTATCACAAAAATTTGAGTATGTCATGTTCAAGACTAGCATTATTTTGCTTCTGACTATCATATTTCTTCATAATTTAGTTATTAGTTTCTGTCAAATATTCACTAAATTTTAGAAGTTATGATAAACACTAATTTATATCCATCATTAAATTCATTGCTAACAATGGATCACATAGAAGCTACATAAATAAAGAAAAAGGAGAAATTTAAATACATACCACACAGTTCTTATGTACTTACATATTTAATAGCTAAAGTTTGATATTTGCATTTATAAAATCTTGGTGTTATAAAGCTATGTATGAAAATTTGTATTTAATTTTTAAAAAGTTAGCAAGAGTGATGTTTTTATGTTAAAATTTTGAGTGTTATAAATATAAATATAAAAGTTTAGGTGTTAGGTAAATAGATATATAAGAAATGTGTAGTATTTAGGTAAATGCCATCCAAGTAAGATAAATTGAAAGAGAATGCATAAACATGGTTGTTTGGTAAGAAATTGACTGCTAATTTGAAATGATATTGCATAAATTTATTGATTATAAATTCCTTACAATTTACAGTACTTTTAGTTTTCTCTGATGAACCACTTATAAATTTCTATGCAAGACTTTCTCATTGTATCTCATCAATAGGAAACCAAACTGTCAATAGTTAATTAGCATCTAACTCAAAATTATGGAGACTTAACTAGGACTTTCTATGCATGAATATGATATGATGAAAAATACTAAAGAATAAGGTCACATATCTTTAGATGTAAAGAAGAAGAAAGAGAACAAACAGCTATAAGTTGTGTGCAAGTGAAGAAGTAAAGCAATGAAAGAACAGGAAAAGTTGCGAGAGGCTAAAGGGCAAGAATGTTGCACATGGAGCAACGAGAGGTTGAACAAGATTGAGAGAGATTAGCACCGAATAAAGTGGGGATTCACAACAAGGGATTTGATGAGTTGTTAAGAAATTCTCATAGATCTATGGGGTAAGAGATGGAGTTTACTGGAATTCCCCTTGCATGTTCTTTGTTAGGAGTGCCTCTCTGAAAAAAATTTTCTCGACTTTGCTTCTCTTCTTGTTGATGACACGATTCACACTTATCGCACCTTTAAGTTGTTGAATCAAAATATGTCTGGTAGACTGTGCCCAAGAGATAAAGCTTTGGGACCTAGGAAAGGAGATTAAGGGAAGGAGAAAAAAAAAGAGAGAGAGAAGGAGAAGAGGACTTGCCCCTAAGCTCTTGGACCCACTTTATTTCACTTAAATAGTTGGGTTATAGAGCGGGAACCAAAAGCCTCTTTACATGAAAGGGTCCTATTTATATATGATAAGAGAATCAAAAGTAAATTACAACATTGTCCTTGCTTTAGAGATATTAGTACATAATTTTTTGGGTACTCTAATTTTCTTGTGTAGACCATCAGATTGCCTTGATATCCATATAGATTATTTTTTAATATACAATATGCACGACCAAATACCATAGACTTGGTATAAAAATCTTAAAAGACCAAATGACTGTGAATTAGTGTAAATAAAGTTTACTAACATTTGTTTCACCATATTAAGAAATATATCATCTCAACTAACATTACTATCTCCCTCCAGAAAATATAGTATCAAAACGAGTTGCAATCTTTTTTCTTTATCACACAAGATCTATAAATCATATAATAAAAATAAAATTCTCTTCATAAAATGTACAAATATTTTCCAAATTTCCTCTTTTTAAAAAAAAATAAACAAACAAAATCTTACCAGACGAAAGCCACTACTCCATCTGAATCCGACTGTATCCATAAGGCTTGACCACACATCTCCTCTCCATCATCCTCCTCACCATCTTCGCCTCCTCCCACCTTCCCACTCTCCCATACATCCCCGCCATTGCCACATAGTTCCCAGCATTCTCCGGCTCAACCTTCAGCAGCTCTTCGAATGCCAGTTTTCCATACTCCACATTCTGGTGAGCTCTGCTTGCCGCCATTAATGCTCCCCACACACTTGCTCCCGCCCTCTCAGGCATCCTCCTTATAAATCCCACAGCTTCCTCAAGCCTCCCCGCCCGTCCCAACATGTCCACCACGCAGGCATAATGCACCATTTCCGGAACTAAGCCCACATCATTCCTAAACCGGTCAAACCACTCCAATCCTACGTCCACCAGCCCGGCATGATTGCAGGCCGACAAAACACTCGTGAACGTGATCAAATTCGGCCGAAGCCCAGCCCGCATCATCTCTCTTATCAACTCAATAGCCGGCCCACCAAGCCCATGCGACCCATACGCCGCAATCATCGCATTCCAGGTCACCACATCCCGTGCCATACAAGCGGCCAAGAACACCGACCATGCGGCAGTGATGCAGCCACCACTAGCGTAAACGCTGATAAGTGCGTTGTACACCTCGGTGGCAAAATCGTAATAATTCCTTATAGCGTGGGCATGTATTTGTTTCCCTTGAATCATCGAGCAAGCCGGGAGGACGCTCGCTAGAGTAGTAGGGTCCGTTCCGACGTCCCACAACTGTGTTTCCTTAAATTGATCCAGCGCTTCACTAACCATCCCAGCGTGCGTGAGCCCAGCGATCAATGCATTCCGTTTCATCAGGTCCGTAGGATCCATCGAGTCGAATACTCGTCGGGAGTATGTGATTAACTTGTTTCCCGAGTATAGAGCGACTAAAGCCGCTCCTGCGGAACAGTAGAACGCGACCGGATTCAATGTCTTCAGCCCAAAAGCGTGGACCTCGCCGCCGGCCCGGAGGGCCCCCAAATGGCGGCAGCAAGCCACGACGCACGATAACATATCCTGATCAGGTGAAACAGCGCCGCCGCTCACCATTCGCCGGAATATTCCTATGGCTGCGTCGTGATTCCCGCTCCGAGCATGGCCGAGGATGATGGTTGTGTAGGACACCACGTTGGGGTCCTTTACCCGGTTAAAAATCTCGACGGCCTCCGCGCAGCGTCCGGCACGGCAGTAGCCGTCCAATATCGTGTTCCACGTTACGATGTCCGGTTCATAGCCGTCGGATGCCATTGACCGGAAAAGCTCTAGCGCGGGATCGGTGGACCCGGCTGAAACGAAGACGGAGATCATGGAATTCCAGGAGAGGAGATCGCGGCGGTCCATGGAGGCGAAGACGCGATCGGCGGAGGTGAGGTCGCCGGAGTAGGCGTAGGCTTTGATTAAGGCGTTGCTGACGTGGAGATTGGCGGTTGCGGCGAACTTGACGGCGTTTGAGTGGAGGGCGGCGGCGGCGAAGTGGGAGAAGGTGGCGGCTCGGAGAGCGACGGGAAGGACGTAGCCGTCGGGGGGAATACCGGCGGCGCGCATGCGGGAGTAAGTGGATAGAGATCGGCGGTGATCGCCAATGCGGGATAGGAAGGCAATGATGGGGGTCCAAGCGAAAATGTTTGGGTGAGGCAAACTGTCGAACAGGTGGAGGGCGGAATGGAGATCGCCGCCGTCGGCGTAGAGTTGGAGGAGTTTGGTGTTGAGGTAACCGGAAGGAGAGGATGGGGGAAGGAGGCCGTTGGTGAGAAGCTGCGAGTGGATGTGGGCGGCGGCGGTGGCGGACTTTGACGGCGACGTGGAGAGGGAGCTGAGGAGAGACTCGAAGAAGTATGGTTTCAGGGTTTCTGGGGCCTTCCATCTTGATACCATTTTGTAATTGGGGCGAACATCGGCGGTGAGAAGTTGGGAGAGGTTGCTGGTGGCAGTTTGGAGTTAGGGTTCCGGTGACTTGATTTGAGTTAGAGACTACAGTGGATTTTGTGGAGTTGTGATCAATTTTATTTTTTACTTTTAAGAAAATAATTATTGTATAAACCAAAAATATTAGCATGGATTTCAAAGAAACTTTTAACGGAGAATGAAGTGAGAGAGCTACAGTGAAGGTATGTTCTTGACGAGAGCACAGGTTTTCGGAAGTTGCCCAAATCGGCACGACCAACGGATCTTCTGGGAAAAGACTTTGTTTTCTATTAAGATGCTCTTCGATCGGGTTGCACAGAACCAGACCTAGCCCAGTTATTGCTTGCTTAAAGGCCCCGTCGACGTAAAGGGTCCATGTCCTGTCGTCAGAGACTACTCCTTTGTTATGCTCCTCTGTTACGGAGAAGTCAGTCAGGAAAAAGGGCTGTCAAAAAAAGCTCGTTGTTCACGAACAGCTCGTGTTCGACTCATTAAGTAGCTCGTGTTCGGCTCGTTCTTAATAAACGAGCCGAACACGAACAGTTCTTTGTTCGCTCGTGTTCGGCTCTTTTTAGCTCGAAATAAAAAAAAAATTATATAATTATTTATATAATAATATTTTACATGTATTAGTTATATAATAATATATTATATATATTTATATCTAAGTTTAAATCATAACATCTCATGTGATAATGTGGTTAATCCCTTATTTTGTATATATTTGATCCAGGTTCGAATCCCACACTTTACATCTATTTTTTTCAATTTAATTTTAATGAGCCAATTTCGAGCCGAACACGAACACGAATGTTTAAATCGAGCCGAACACGAACACACTGTTCACGAGCCAATTTCTAACACGAGCCGATTTCGAACATGAGCTATTTCAAACGAGCCGAACACGAGCTTGAGCGCTCAAGCTCAGCTCGTTTACAGCCATAGTCAGGAAGTCTGTAATCACTTGGGCCTTAATTGTCGTCTGAGGGATATAGGTGGTGTTGAATTCACCGAACTCCACTGACCATTTAGCAGTTAGTCGGAGTGCTCGACTGACTGATTACAAATTTCAACGAATGGTCCGTGAGGACCCGGATCAGATGCATCGGGAAGTATGGTCGAAGTCTGCAAACGGAAACAATCAAGACAATTATTAGTTTTTTCATAATTAGATACCCGATTTTAGCGCCATGAAGCACTCGGCTAGTTTAATAAACTAAGGTCCTGATTTTCTGCCTTCTCTTAGACCAAAACTGAGTTGATGACCTCTCGTCTGACTCCAAGATATAGCCACAGTTCTTTAGCTGGTTTCAGACTCAGGACCAGTGGTGGTGAAATCAAGGAACCTTTTAAGGTTTTGAACGCCTCATTGCATCTGTTCGTCCATTCAAAATGCTTATTCTTCCTCAGCGCTTTGAAGAACAGCACACACATGTCGACTGATTTCGAGATGAAATGACTAAACTCGGCAATTGAACCAGTTAGCCTCTGCATTTCCTTGGTATTTCATGGAGGTGGAATGTCTAAGATCGCCTGTACTTTCTCTGGGTTGGCATTCAATCCTTTGGCGGTCGGTAAGAAGTCCAGGAACTTTCTGGTCGACGCTCTAAAGGCACACTTGGAGGGATTTAGTCTCATGTTAATTTTTTTGAGTGTTTCGAATGTCTCTTTCAGCTCTTTGATATGTTGTTAGGGTGATTTACATTTAACTAGAATATCATCGGCATACACTTCAATGTTTTTTCCTTTGTGAATATGAAAAAATACATACATGAGACGTTCTTAAGCCCAAAGAGTATTACATTAAAACAAAATATGTCTTGCACCGTGATGAAAACATTTTTTTCTACGTCGGTCAGATGCTTCTTTATTTGATGATAACTAAAATATGCGCCGAGGAAACTCATGAATGAATATCCGAACAAGCAAGCAAGTGTTTGGGGTCCATACCGAGAGAAAAAGTACAGAACCAGTCGAAGGACGAGATGAGAGAAAACCAAAGAAAAAAGAAAAAAACACGTAAAGTGAAAAGAAGCGACCCCTTCTCCTATTTATAAGGCGAGCATGACAATGAAACATCACATAATGATAAGTATCATACTAATTTTTTTTTCAAAATTTATTAAAATATCATTTTATTACAAATAACATTATTACAGGCCTCGAACGAAGTGTATTATAAAGGGGTACCTCCAACTCTGGAGAATCATCTCTCTACCTAACCTAATATGCTCCACATGATCAGCTTCCTGATTGAACTTTACCAGATCATACATCTTGTGGGGTACCTCCAACTCACGCAACACCTCGTTTGGCCTGTCTCGGAGGGCGACGATTTTCGTCCGCAGAACTACTACTTCAACATCCAGGCAAGTAGACAGTTCCTGCACAGGATCCATAGCCAAACCCCCGGCGAGTCCCTCGATAGAGACGACCGACCCCGCTAACGGTCTGGTCTCACTTGCCGGTAGCTCTATGATCTTGGCGAATTGTAATCGCTCCGACAGTCCCCTAGTTGGAGATCTATCACAGACGATGGGTTGGGCAACTGATGAATTACCAGGGTCGATAGCGGTGGGAGCCTCACATCTTCAACATGCATAACGCCCACTGCGATAGGGGCAAACTCTGCAGCATTCTTTGACAACCCATCATCCTGGCGCTGCTTTGACCTGACCAATTCATTCATAAATCTTCCCATGGAGCAGAAAATGTTAAAGGCCTACTCCCCCTCTGATGTCGAGACACCCCCACTTTCCTCTGGCAATGATTGCGGGTGGATCGTGACAACCGCTCCCCCAGCTCCTTACCACTCACCTTGGTTGAAAGGACTTGCTGGCCCTCAAAACGCATGCCGGAACCAGACTCCAAGGCCTCTCGGTGAGGCCACTTCAACAACTGACCTTCTGCATAGACAAATGAGTCGATTACATCGACTAGGTTAGATTCGGGCCTCGCCCGTTTTTCCTTCATCACCACTTTCTTCTTCTTTACAGAAGAAGGAATCTGAAACCCCGCCCACACAAGCCTCTCTTCATCTACAACAATCTGAATTTGTCAGTTATAACACACCTCAGTTGTAAAAAGAGAAAGATACTACAGATAACACAAGACTTAGTTCAAGTCTACTTATAAAGCCCATGGGGCATATAATCCTAAAGGATGTCATGTGTTCAATTAATTCAAAATTTTAATGCTAACAATTATTTAGTAATTTCTCTATTCTTATTATAGTTGTCACTATTAAGAAGCATAAAAAATTAGAGAACTATGAATACACCAAAAATACCAGCATGAATCTCAAAGAGAACGGACGACCAAGATGAAACAGTCTTCTTTCGAGGTAACCAATCAACTGATGATTCAAGACTGAGCTTCAAGCTGCATCTCAAACTCGGGATATGAGATAGTTCCCTGCTTCGTAGCGTCAATACCCGTCTAATGTGAGGTGTAAAACATCCCGACAAATACGTGCAAGATTAAAAGATCTCACTGTGGCGGCGAACCAACCAAGCAAGCAAGTTATGAGCCATGTAAGAGTCGAACTGAAAATGACTCATGGTTCACTTACTGAAAAAGGACGATCGATCATGTTCAACCGACCAACCCTATTTCCGGACCAAACGAGCACCTCGTAACTGACTGCTCTGGTTGACCGTTCCAAAAGATCCTGACCAAGATCGCCATGTGGCTGAACACCTCGACTGACCAACACGTCCTTTAGAGAGCACATATGACCCTCGGTCAATCGCCTTAGTCGGTTGACTTGAAGCCAGCCGAGCAGCCAATTACTGCCAATGTTGAAATTTAAATTGAAATGCAATTCTAACATAAAATTTATACAATCAATTAGAGACTTAATGAAGTTACGAATGATTCTCATAACCGTTCTTTCATTTTTGTAATTGTACAAAACACGTCTCTATATGTATACAACAAAAATACAAATAAAGAGACATCTCCCTCAATTTTTCATGCAAAAATTTCAGACTCATTGTACTCTTTCTTCATTCTCTCATTCACTCGGCTCTAACTCTCATAGTGTGGTTCACAAAGAAAGAATTATGATCCAACATCGATCAGTCATTATATCATTGTGTTGTTTTGTCTGTTGATGACCTAATTTTAGTCGACCGACATGAATCTACTAGCTGGAATTAATGCTTGAAGACCAGATCAACACGTCGGATCAGCTAATGTCAACTAACTGGATCAATTCGATTGACCATCTCAAAAATTTGCCGATCGTCCTCAACGAGAGATCAAACGGTAGATTATCCATATCCATCTTGTCGGCCAGCAACATACTGCTTCACCTCATCGACCTCATAGATCGAGTCGAAGAGTAGCAGTGTCCTAGGCCACGGGGTATAATCCTCAAAATAACTTATACAAACCCCACTTTAATAGAGGCACAAATGTAACTTCAATTGTTGTACCTCCTTTGCCTATTAATTGGAAACATTTCATGAGCACTCCTCTCACTTTACTGTTTAGCGGAACACCTTTCTCTCTCTCTATTGCTTTACGCTCTATTCTTTTGGTGTGATTCACATGACCATCTCTGATTCAAAATTTTTATAATTTTATATAAAATTTTGAAGTCATCTTATCCAATTTTTTTTGCCATGCAACTCTAGCATTATATCGAGCCCAATCATATACCATAGATGAAGCAAAAATAAGATTATCTTGAATAGCATTAACTTTAGTAAAATTTGATTCAAATGATTCCTCCCAAGTTATTAAAAAACAACCTTATTTTCATCTCTTAAATTGTAGCATACAAAGAGATGCTCAAGAAGCTATGCAATGAGATAAGTTCTAATCTCTACTTGTTGATTATGAGCATTAAAAAGTCAATTTCTAGTAATAAAATATCCCTAGATCATATAGCCACTTAAAATTTAATGGATAATTTACATAAATACCTCAATATTCTTTTGTTTTTACATACAAACACTTAAAAAAATCATATTTGCATTTATAACAATTTTATATTAAAAATTTATTCATGAAAATTGTATCTCAATTATAAAAAAGCTAGTGATGATATTTTCTTATGTGATGTCAAAGATTTAAAAGGTATATATAAATATAAAAATCAAGGCATAGTATGTAAATATATAAGAATTATGTGAAATGTATTTAAATGTGGAGAATGGCGGCGATGTGGAGAATGGCAAAGAGCTTCTTCGATGGGGCGAGAGCAGGAACAGTTTGCTATTTTAAAGCGCGACCATCTCGATTTGCTTATTCAATCTCTTGTTTGCTATCTATGTTCTTCATTCGCTCCACGTCTTCTCTTCGTATCCCAGCGGTCAGGATCCTCTTTCCTGTTACCCGAAGAAAACACTTTCCTTTTTTGACTTGTAGGTCGAGGCATAGGTTTCAACTTTGATGATTCGTGTTTTACGGAAACCTAATGAATGTGAAATTTTTTATTGGCTTCACTGTTTCCCTGCTTCAGATGTTTGGCACGCGATAGATCAAGCCAAGAGGGTTGAAGAGTCTGCTGTCGTCCGGAGAGCATTACGGCCTGTGGAGTTTTTTGGATTGGTAAAAGACAATGCCTCGACTCATTATGCTTATTTTTTTAACAGGATTATTGATTGTTTGGGGGTTTTTATCCGATGGGAATAAGGTCGATAAATTGAGGGCAGATACGGATGTTGAACGGCGTGTGTTGGAGTTATCGTCGTCTCTGAAGCGGAAGCTTTCCAATGAGATTCTGCAGAGGTTGAGATGGTGCTAATTTGATCGACCTGCGAGGTTGGCGAGCTTTCTTTTCTTGTCGTTTAATGTGTTTGTGTTTGTTGTCTCTATCATGTTTTTTTTTTATATAGTTTTTTATTGTCCTAGTTTGCTTTTTTAGACCAGTAAATGAATTTGAAGTATTTGAGGATTGCTTCTGCTTCAAGAGGAGTTATCTTACTTCAAATTTAATTTTGATTTAGTGAAGAGTGTCTGTATTCTCTTACCAGTGATTATCATTAGCATTTGCCGATCCTTTTTGTAATTTTATTGCATCTCATAATCGATTGCTGTCAAAATCAAGTAGTTGAAAAGAAGGAAGCTCATTGTTGCTGACTGTTATTCATGTGAAGTGCATTAGGGGCTCTTTGGTAATGGCCGAAAGTCAGTATTTAAGCAAAACTTACCTTAAATCCTGCCAAATGACTAAAATGACAACTTTATATCCCAGATTTAGTAAATCCAAATATTCTTTTGTTTGCATTCAATCCCGGATTTAGGAAAGCCTAGCATTAGCTGGGTTTAACTTAGTGCTTAGCGTCTTCTTAGGAATACCTCATCGAGACGACTGCAGTGATAAGGAGCGGCATTTCACCGACAAATTTGTCTCAAGTCACCCGTCCAATCTTAACGCTCTACTTATACACAAAGGCAGCCTAACCCTTGCAATGCTTTGATTTGGGAATACAAAAATTCACTTGGAAAGACATGAGGAGTGTTTATTGGAAGAATAGAACACTTCACTAAGGGATGAATGTTTGATTATATGAAAATCTCGAGTTTTTTCCCGGAGGGGTGAGGGTTCTCTATTTATTGTTCACACTGAAATCCTAGAGAACCTTCTAGATTATATTAGAATAATTTATTTCTAGATAATTCTATATTATTCTTTACATATACATAACTCAAGAGCTTTTCCTTACTATCATAAAGTTCTCTCGAAGCTTTTCTCTTTCAACATTTTCTAAAATGCAGTGGAACCTTCTAGAATCTCTTAGATTATTTTCCTTATTTCCAGTCTTCTCTAGAATCTTCTTTCCCATGGTTGAAGGGATATGATTGACCCCTTTTCGAGACAACGGTGTGTGAAATTCTCCCCCAACTAAACTTAAAATGCCCTCATTGAGCGTTTTTTGCCGATACGTGTCTATATGTCCTTTCAACTTGACGATTTACTTCTTATAATTTGGAATCCCTCCTCGACTACTGATGATCAACAAGTATTTCATCCACTTTCTTATCAAAAGAAGTGATTATTGTTGTTGGTGTTTGCTTAGGGATTTCTCTTGATGGATATTTTTTACACTCCACACGTCTCATTTTCTTGGTCACCCACTTCTTTGTCTTGTAGTCTTAATCAGTGACGCTCAGACCATCTTCTTTTGTTTGCTCTCAAACTTGGGAAGCTCAAACCCACTTCTTGCTTGCTAGTCTTTATTATTGGTACTAGATAAGCTTGATTGCCTTCCATAATGTACATGCTATTAGCGATGATTATTGGAAATGCTTTTATTTGATCTAAGAAGTCTAGCCCAAGAAAAGCTTTAAAATTCTTCATTGCATTGACAAAGAAATGCAATGTACCTGACCAAAGTTCAACATTGCTTTTTTATTTCTCTGGCTATTCCATGAATTAACCTTGCTGCTGAATTGACAACTTTGATGGAGCCTCCTCTTCCAATTGCTTGTAGTCATATCCTTTGTACTTCTTCAATTGAGATGAAGTTGTGAGAAACACTTATGTCTATCATTTTATTTTAGTAGTCTTTCCATCTATCACCATTTTCATAAAGTGTAACCCTTTTGCTTAAGTTTTTTGGGAAGATTGCATCACATTGAGTTGTTGTATAGATTCTACCTGTGCTATCCCTATCACTTCCTCTTATTTCCTCTTCTTCACGTTGGCTTGTAAGAAGAGGGTTCCAGACTTTCTTTTGAGGATAATCTCTTGCCCATTGAGACTCATCACGAAGGAAACAATTGTTATGTAGCTTCATCCTTTTGCTTCCCCTTGTCGCTGCCTTTGGATGAGGATGATTTGTAACGAGTCATTTCTTTGTGTTAATTCTTATCTCCCTCGCCTTTGACGTAGGCCCTATTCCAATTTCTTGACCTTGCAGTCTCCTTTTCGAAGTCGATCAAGTTCTCCGCGAAGACAATAACAGTAGCGAGATCTTGCACTCCGCACCTTCTAAACTGTGTCTTTGCTCATGATTGGAGCTCATCAATGAAGTTGAAGAGAGCATCATTGCCTAATATGTTAGAGATTTCAATGACCAAACTAGTGAAGTCACTAACATACTATCAAATCAATTCTGTTTGTTTAAGCCTCCACAATCAGGCTCTAGCCTCATCCTCCGTGTTCTTCGAATAAAATTACATTTTGAGCTCTTTTTTGAAGTCAGTAAAGGTAGATATTGTTTACATACCCATCTCTATGTCTCATCGCCTTCTTCTCCGTCATATCATAGCGGTGTCAGAGAGATAAATAGTTGTAAATTGGATCTTTGCATCTTTATCAGTAATGCCCATGACTCCACAGTATTGTTCAAGTCTCTATAAATAGTTGTCAACTTCTTTGACGTTGCGAACTCCTCTAAAACTCTTATGCTTTGACATTTGATGCACTTGGCTTCAAATGTATGGTGGTTGGTTGTTGTCACTATTGCTTGTTTGCATTGCGATAGTTCTCCACAAATCTCTTCTAGGTTAGCATGTAGGCTGGTCATCTCTTCTTCATGAGATCGTTGTGCACCATGGAGCTCCCCCATTAGATCCTCTCACATATTGTCCATTTGGTCTATTTAGGATTTTTCTAGTTGGAGCATCACACTTCTGATTGTGGAATGGACGTTGATGTTCTCTTCTTTAAGGCCATCTACCTTTTGGCCTAGATCCTTTATCTTATTTGGGTCTCTATGCCAGCCTCCTTCACCCAAGCAAGGCGATAATCAAAGCCATATATAAACTCCTTGGACTTTCCATGTAGTTTAGATGCAACATGATCTTGTTGTTCCTCACAATGTCATCTTTGTTGAGATGATTTGTGGCCTCAAACTCCTTGACGTGCTCTTTGACACTGTTTTCCATGCCTTTAGCATTGGCTTGGATGCCAACTGTGACCACCTGAACTCTAACCCATCAAGTTATTATCCACTTTTACCTAGTGGGCTCACGATTTTGCCTTGTCGGTATAACTTTTCAGGAGGTCACTCATCCCAAGAGTACTTCGGGACGAGCATGCCTAGCTCTAAATCTTCTATCAAAACTCCACAGTTACACCAAAAGTCGCCTTAGTGTTTGAAAGCTCAGATCATTCTGCTTAAGGGGTTTCATAATAGTGTCACACATCACTATTTCAAGAAAGGGTTAGTCACATCCTTTTAACCATTTGAAAGAAGATTCTAAAGAAGACCAGAAAACATAATAATCTAAAAAATTCTAGAAGGCTCCGCCACATTCTAAAAAAATACTAAAAGAGACAAGCTTCACTAGAACTCTAAGTTATTTTGAAAAGTTCTAGAAACATGTATATATAAAAAATAATGTAGAACTATCTAGAAGATAATTTATTCTAATGTAATCTTGAACGTTCTCTAGGATTTGAGGGAGGATTATCTATAGAGGTCCCTCCCTCTCATTTGAACCAACTCAAGGTTCTCATATAATTAAGTGCGTAAACATTCATCCTTTAGTGAAGTATTCCCTTTTTTCAATAACCTCTCCTTTCATAGAGATTTTTTAGTATATTTTAAAGTTCGGGATTATCCCTGCTAGGGTTGTCAATTTGGCTCGTTGTTCGTGAACAACTCGTGTTCGGCTCGTTAAGCAGCTCTTGTTCGGCTCGTTTGTTTAGCCTACCGAGCCGAACACGAATTTTAAGCGCGAAAGGTAAAGGAGCCGAACACGAACAACAGTTTGTTCGCTGGTGTTCGGCTCGAAATGGCTCGAAAAAAAATTATAGAACTTTTTATATAACAATATATTACATATATTATTTATATAATAATATATTATATATATTTATGTCTAAGTTTTATAGATTTGATCCAGGTTCGAATCCCACACTTTGCATATATTTTTCTCAATTTTAGTTTAACAAGCCAGTTTCGAGCCGAACACGAGCCGAATATGAACACGAATATTTAAATCGAGCCGAACACGAACACACTGTTCACGAACACACTGTTCACGAGCTAATTTTTTTGAACACGAGTTATTTCGAACGAGCCGAACACGAGTCAAGCCTGAGCTCGCCCAAGCTCGGCTCGTTTACAACCCTAATCCCTGCTACATGGACCTCATTTGCCCGGACATGCCCGTTTGCGAGTTTTCCTACTGGAGCTTTACCCTGCCGCTGCGTGTGCGCACCAACAACGACAAACTCTTTGAGCTTTCTAACGTGGGTGAGTTCCTGTATAAGATTTCGAAGGTGACGAAATTCCTCTGTGTCATTACCATGTCACGGTGCTACTGACAGTATCTCTTTGGATCTCATTAGGTAGCAGCCTCCTTTAGTGGTGGGACTGGTTCAAAGTAGTCATTGTTTTGGATGACTTGGATTATTTCGACCTTTGACACGTTGAGGGGTGTCAAACCTTGCATTTCCCGGTAAACAAATGATCACTCGTAATATTGGACCGATCGTTGGTCAGAGCGCCGGTTTTGGTCATGAGGCTCTCGACATTTCCCCACTGATCTTGAGACTGAGAGTTATTGTTGTCATGGTGAACGGTGGAGGACTGATTGTCCTTCGCTTTCCACGATTTGCTCTGTTCTTTCCGCCACTTTGAGGGATGGTAGGGCGACTTAGCTTACACTTCAGGAGGCCCTGAAGGTCTTCTTCGGCAAGTATGTGCTCGTTCGCCATCTCTAGCACCTCTACGAAAGTGGTGGGTTTAAATAGGTTTAGTTCATACTTGAATCATTTTCTTTGGACTCCTCATTTCAAAGATGTTCCTGCTATATCAGGCTTCAGGTCTATAACTTCCAACATCTCGTACTGGAAACGGGTGATG